GACGCGATGCAGAAGCTTTTCGATCTGTCGGACGCCAACAGCGACATGCACGCGGGCCCCTCGGCAGGGGTCATTTCGAATCTGCCGATCCGAATCGATTCGGTCTCGAGGGAACGAAATTAAGCGGTCGCGAACCAGTTCGAACCATTTAGCAGGCCGCGCAGAGGAAAGTAAAAGGTGCGCAATTGTCACAGATGTGTACTGGTTTCTTATTTGTGCATCGTGCCTACCACAATTTTCAAGGACAATTATTCCATCCAATATGCATTGCATAATTCCGTCTGTCAGTGCAGCCCGTCCGGAAATTGTGCCATTGTTTTTCGGCATCTTCTTGGTATACGCGCAAATTTACCCCGTCTTGAAGCAAGTTGTACCTCGGCCTGGGCTGGCGGACGCCGCTTCCGATGCTGTCCGATCTGCCTGCCGATTTCAGCAGATTCGATGTATTTTGATGGCCGATCCATCGGGGCCTGGAGCTGGCTGGGGTCGGAGGTGGCCCAGCACTTGGTTCCGGCCAGCAGGAGGGGGGGGGGCAGGTTCGGGGGTATGGCTTTGGTTTCGGGAAGGTGTTGGTTGTTTCTTTTGGCCTCCAGAGGCCGTTTCCGGGCCCCAGGACGGTCAGAACTGAAAAAGTTGCACCGGACAGCCCCAGGAGGGGTCTTGGGACAGAGTTTCTACGTATTTGGCATCATCCCCCCTCCTGACAGATTTTCTGACAAGCAGTCGTGCAGCGTCCTGACCTAACTAGAGTCCCCACAAATGTGATAAGTAGCGTTTTGAAATGTGCACGAGACATTCTTATAACTCTTCCGCGCGGCAATGTCGGCGATGCATCAGCGCCGTCGGCGTGAAGAAAGCTGGGCTCCAAATCGAACCGCACCGCCGATGCATCGGCAACGCGGCGTGATCCTCCGACCCCATCCACTTGGACCGCATCTGGGAAGCCGATGGAGCCCGAAACCAAGCTAAAACGCCCGGTCTGACCGGGGAAGGATTAGCAGTGACCGACCGTCCCGGCCTTCGTAGGGGCTAACACGAAATCGCCCTAGAACAACACTCTGTTCTCATGGCAAACACAATGCACATATAACATAAAGCCGATGTGCTAAAACAAGAAGGGCTATGCCAGAAATGGATGATGAACGAGCGCGTGAACCTATATTTATATATATAGAGAGAGATCTACATTCGTGTATGTATATATATATACATATATATATATATATATCCGTAAGGGCTTCGCCCCCTACCGCCTTCCCCCTTTCAATCACAATGGGCTATGCCAGAGCTATGTTGTATTTTCTCGGCGCCGTCGTGAATCACTGTCGGGATCTCATGCTAGGGCAATTGGCAAATGGCATATCATATGTATTAGGTTTTATAGCCTCAGTGACGCGAACATTGCGTATTTTACGAAGGCTTGTGCGAGCATCGCGTAATGTACGAGGGAGTAGGGCCTCGGGGACGCAATTATTCAGTAATGTACCAGGGTTTATGGCTCGGGGGCGTAGTTTACAAGGATTTATGGCTTCGGGGACGCGATTCTAGCGCAATGTTAATGCAATGTTCAAGAGTTTATGGTTTCGGAGACGCGAATATAGCGTAATGTTCGAGGGCTGATTGCTTCGGATACGCGAGTCGTGTGTAAGTTTCCAGGGTGTATGGCTTCGGGGTCGCAATTATAGCATAATTTACGCAGGTGTATGGCGGCGGGGACGCGAAGATCGTGTAATCCACAAGGGTTTATGGCTTCGGACACGTGGTTATTGTGTAATTTAAGAGGTGTATGGCTTCGGGGCCACACATCGTATGTCATTTACGCAGGTTGATGGCTGCGGAGACGCGAATCTTGAGTAATGGGTTTATGGGTTCGGCGACAAGAATATCGCGTGATTTGCGAGCGTTTGTGGCCTCGGGGACGCAAGCATTGCATACTTTATGAAAGTGTGTAGCTCCGGGGACACGAAGACGGTGTATTTGCGAGGGTTTATGGCTTCGGGGACGCCGCGAATATTATGTAATTCTCGAGGGTGTATGGCCTCGGGGACGCGGCTATTGAGTAATTTGATTAATTTGATTGGGTTTATGGCCTCGGGGTCGCGAATCTTATTGTATTTTTACGTGTCCCACGCCCCCCCCAGGAATTCAGAGCACGCGATTAGGGCGTGGTAACCAGGTTCCTTCTGGGCTCCCCCCCCTCGCGCGCACAGTAACAATTTACAGTAGGAAGCATAACACAAACCTGTAACAGTGGAAATTGGAACCTGCAACTGCGCAGGGAGCAGCAAACCCTAGCCCTGCAGCTTGGTGGCCCCACAAGGGGGCCGCCAGATCTATATAACTATATAACTATGAAGATAGTACAATATGTTCCCTTATTCGTAGGGAACTGATCCTGAACAACTCCAGTCCCGGCTAGGGACGCGCTGGTTCGCGAGCGCCCCAGGAGGGCCCAAGACGGTCCCAGATGGCCCCAAGATGGCTTTAGGAGGGCCCCAGGAGTCCTCAGGAGGGCCCGACGAGCTCCCCAGGACGGCTACGATGGGCGCCTGGCGTTCGCTTTCATTGATAGGCTCGGGCGTTGCGTAATGGCGGGGGTGCGATCAATGGAGGGGTTAAGAAAGGTGCACCTGATGGGGCCCCAAAGGGGCATGATGGGGGCACGTCTCCCTCTCTCTCTCTCTCTCCCTCTTTCATCGCCCCCCCGATGAAGCAACGCTCGATGGGCGCTACTTTCCTGGTGGCTGGTCAGGCTCTCCCAGGTGTCTGGCCCAGCCGCCGCCTTTTGGGCCGCCTTGCTTTTGGCCTGCTTTTGGTCGGCCCTGAGTGGGCTCCCCTGGGGCCCAACGAGGACACGAAAGGTGAACGGCTCTTCGCTCCCCCATTGATCCTTGGCATCGCTTGGATGTGTGCACCTTCTTCTCGGCGAGGATCGCCGAGGCGCTCTTCCCCTTGTCTGGCCCAGCCGTCTTCCAGGGTGGCGGGCAAGGCCGCCGCCTCTTGGGCCGCCTTGGCCTTGTCGCACTCGGCCTTGCTCGGCATGCTTGCTCCTGGAACGCCTAGCACGACGCAGACGCAGTAGTGACATCGGTCAGTCCGAACAGGCCCTCCCCAGGCCAGTGGAGGAGCACAGCCATCGTGTGACCAATTCATGGGGGATCCCGGATGATCGAGCAACTGCAGTTCTATACCAGCGGATGTTTCGGCACCTTCTTGCAATCAGCTGAACCCCCTGCTCGAGTCGCAGCAGAGCCCTGACTGAGCAAGCTTCCGCATGAACCACTCCACAGGAGCTCGCCTCATCGCCATGGTGATGAGACATGGAAGTCTTGTCGGGTGGCAGCTATATCCTTGTGGGCTGCAACGCGGGACTTCTAGGATGTGTTCGATTGTTTGGTTGCCGATCTTCCATGGCGGATAGGCTCTACAACGGCGTCTCGATGCGATGTCGACGGGCCGATACTGTACGAAGTTCACGCGCGCAGCTTCGGAGCACGCCGGGCGTGCACGAGTGGAGGACCATCCCATAGTATAGCCCGAAGGAGTGATGGTGGGCAGCATCTGTCGCAGCCAGCGACCGCGACAGAATGGCGTTCGGGACCTCATGAAAAGTACAGATCTCAGATGTGCACGCCTGAAGTGCAACGCTTGCAGAGTATGTGCCCAGGGGGGGGATCAGCTCCCCACCTGTGGTCCGCTCCCCGACCCAGCGATCCCACGGAGGACAACGACAGAGACGTGACGCCCAGCTCTTACGCGCCTAAGTTCGCAGAAGGAGCACACGCGAACGACGACGACACCTGCAAGGGGTGGGTGCGCATAGCGATGGACAAAGAAAAGACCCATGATCGACACTGGAGCCATACAGTCGGGGCCCTGAAGAAGGAACCCTTTTGGTTGGGGAGGGGCTCCGCGTTCCTTGAGTGTTTCACAGCTTGCCTCAGGTTTTCCTTATGTCTTCGGTAGGACATCGAAGTTGAACTTTTAGAAAAAAGGGGCCTCGTTCCTTTTTTAGGGTTCCTTAGGTCAACGCCCCGACTGTAGATGCATACATCAGCGCTTGCCAATCCACATTGCACAACCAGCGGGCATACCGATGCCGCTGACGCCGCGCCTACAACTCGCGAGCGCCACGCTTGAGTGTTTCCTCTCTCTCCCGCGCCACCTTGGGGGCACCTGCTCGCCCGCACTGCCCTCTCCGGCTCGGCCGGCACCGCCAGCACGCGCTTGTGTCGCCTCGCCTCCTCCCCCCTTTCCCCTAAGGGAGGAGGACAAGGGGGGGGGGGGGGGAGGAGGAGGAGGAGGAGGAGGAAGAGGAGGAGGAGGAGGAGGAGGAACGTGGGCGGAGGACGGAGGAACGATGCAGGAGAGAGGAGGGGCAGGAAGGAGGTGGGGAGGAATGGGGAGAGGGGCGAAAGGAGGAGAAGGGGGAGGAGGATGTGGAGGGGGAGGACTGTACAACGTCCCCCCCCCCCTCCCGCGCACCCCTCCTTCCCGTTCGGAACCGAGGTGACCGCGGATGAGCTCGTCGCAGTTCGCGGGCAGGCGCCCCATACCTCCTTTTCCTCACCCCCATTTCGTCCGCAGAGGGGGGGGCGGCGGCGGGGCTTGGCACTCCCAGGGCTTCCTTCCCCGCACACTCTTCCTCCTACACTCCTTCTCCTTTTACATAATTTCTCCCTGTCGCTCCCCAGGCCAGTTTTTAGGGCGGGCCGGGCGTTTCGCCTGAGACATTTTCACCATTTATGACCCTGCAGCCTTAAAATCAACAACAGCTTCACATATGGAGGGCGGGTGGTTTTCAAAATGTGGCTCTCGCCTTAGCGCCGCGCACATTATTTTTCAAACTTTGCAAGAGTTTCACGGATTGAAAGCGGGTTGTTTTCAAAGTGTGGTTGTCGTTTTAGCGTCGCGCGCATTCGTTTTCAAAGTTTGCAAGAGCTTCACGGATTGAGGGCGGATGGTTCATTCGCTTCCAAATTTTGCAAGCGGATCGTTTT